TTACACTGAAGTAACTCAATACGCTACACGCGTCTCTCATAATGGCTTACTGACATATGTACAGGCATGTATACAAAAATTAGATATCTGCAATTTTTCCATTTGAAAGAGTCGCTTATTCGGCTGCTAGGGCTGTGGTGCAAAAAGCTTTTGTTTGAGTGCAATTATTCGTATTAAAGGAAGTGAGGAAAGGAGGGAATACTGCGAAAAAAGAAATCAGTTGGCCATTAAAAGAATGTATCATTTACTAAACAAATTTATTTCCGAAAAGCCTGTATGGAAGTATGAGCTTCATGCATACGTAAATGTACATCAGATAAACGWTTGAAATACAATACCACCATAAAAATAGAAATTCATATGTATGTATCCACAATTCCCAAATGGAATTTTTTTAATTAAAAGTATCTGCAAGGCATGCACAAATTATTGGAAAACAACATTTGCATATGTATATAAAATATTAACCAACATGCAGAATTTTAAGAATAAAACGGAAAACACGAGACAATAAACAGATGATTAAAAAAGATTGTACTAGAAAATTTCATAGTTTCATATAAAATAAATGTGTGGAAATGAAGGTACTGCTGATTTCAATGATAAATGAGGAACACTTCAAGGYCATCCAAGAGTGATAGAAATAGATTTTAAAACGGTTTCGCGTTGCTCCAAAAAGCAGGCAGGTGTCAATGTCATGAATGAAAGACACAGGCACAGGTGGCAAAAAGCTTGCACGATGTAGTAAAAACTAGAAGAATTCAATTAGTAAAGTTTAAATTGCCAATATATAATATGGTCTGCTACGTTTTTTCATAAATTTAACCGTTTGAGAGTTTCATGGGTTTAAGGGTTAAAAAACCTACCATTTTATTGTCTTATTAAATCCTACAACGCCTCTAGAATATTGTACTAAATTTTCAAGTTGATCCGAGTAATAGTTTCGGAGATACAGTTTATGTACTTGTGCGCTCGAGGTTAGCTAGGCTAAGTATGCCGTCTTTAAATGCGTTTTTCTTAATACTGCGTTTTTGAAGTAAGGTTGGCAAGACTTCTCGAAAACTACTCAACCGATCTCTATGAAATTTAACACAGGTCTTTGAGACACAATTCTTAAAGACTTGCACAACTATTTGAAAAAAAAAAACGCCGCTAAACTTTCACTTTCTTGTAAAAATGTCTGCCAAAAATTCAAATTTCAGTTTACTAAATACTAAAACACGTATTTTTCAACGGAAACGGTATCGAAATGGCCAAGTTTAAATATTTTTTTCCAAAAATTTCAGAATTTTTTGTTAATAGTGTATGTTTGCAACAATACGAAATTCCAATAAAATATTTCATTTTTTATATGAGAATAAAACTGTTGAAAAAAACTGAGAAAAAAACAGAGGAAACCCGGTTATATGTAGTTTGACTATTTTAAGGCATTTTTTTTCTTTTGAATTTATTTAACTCAATAAGATAAATTACTTTACATTGCGAAGCTCATAGTCTTGTAGGAAATTTTCTAGAAAAATAAACCAAAGAATACAGTTTTTTTGATAATTCTAAAACAACAACAAATACAATTGATAACAATAATATAAGTTAAAGTAATATATAATACTTACATAATAACAGATAAATATCTACATAAACATTTATGTACATATAAATACATTGTGTGCATAGCGCKGTTTCACTCTTAAACTTTATCAATAACGTTCCATTACTCCGTTATATTTTCATAACTTGACAGCTCAAAGGCAGTTTTTTGACACAAAACACAACAAAAACACTACATTTGTCACCTAAAACGAAATATCATATAACAGCTGTCGAAAAAGAGCGTAAACAGTGTTTATATGAAGAATATACTATTTCAGATAAAGTGAAGTGTGTGCAGTGGAGTGAAGTTGTTGTGGTTGAACTGAAAGAATTTTGTACTGACGAAAAAGCTCTACAGAAGTAAGTCACTTGTTAGATAAGTGTTGTTGTTGGTCTGTTGCTACTTAACTGAGTTATTTTGTTGTTATTGTTGTTACAAATAAACACTTCAACTTCCATTGCTACTCTTATTCTTTGTTGCGCTTTGTTGATGTTTTGGCCTTTCAAACTTTTTGGCGTGCCACTTGTGCTGCCTACACAACTCTGGATGAATAAAAATTTGCTGCGCAATTTCGCTTTCCAGAATTTGTGTTTTTTTTTTTTTTTTGTAAATTTTTTATTATTCATTTTTTCTCATTCGTTGTGCTACTCGCGTTCATATTATTTTCTTACCGCCTTTACCTGCGCTCTGCTGGTGTGACAGCTATAAAACTTGCTGTTAGCACAAAAATGTAAACACAAGCACACAAAATATACTTAAATTATGGATATGCCTCCAGAAATATTTGTTATTTTTATATTTTTGTTTGCTGTGGTCGCTCTAAGTGGCTCACCGCCGTTGCGGTTTTAGAGTTTATATTATATATATAAATAGTAGAGGGAAATAGAAAACGAAATATTTTACTTTTAATTTGGGTGGAACAAACAAAAAAAACTTTGAATTTTGAAAATTATGGTAAATTCCAATTACTCTTATATTATATAATTGAATGGTTTCTATTTAATTTGCGATAATTTTTGTGTTTGCCATTTGCACACTCGCACATACAGTCAAAATAAGTATGTAAGCATATGTATGTGTTATAAAATCTTCTTACCGCTTATGCCAGGCTATTACAGAAATAGTAAATTCAAAATACTTTCAATTTGTTTATATTTATACATCTATATTAAGGTATGCAATTAAAAACCAAAAATAATCATTTCTTCCTGGCTGTTTAGCACATTAAATGTGCTGTAGACGCTAGTGAATTCGATTTTGCTTCATTTTGTGATAAATAAATTTCAAAAAATTAAAATTTTTTTGCTGAAGTTTTATAAGATATTTATTTTAGCGGCCCATTTAGTGCTTATCAAATAAACATTTTTAACAATTGTACTTCCCCCTTTCAACAGAACTGTGACTGACCTAATACATTTTCACTAGTGCTTGTACGCACCCATACTTGACGCAAGCTGTTAAATGTACTTGATAATTGAACTATGGGAAAAACAAATTTCAAATATGTACAGAAATATAAATACACTCACATATGTCGGTGTGTATATAGACAAATACATATGTATGCATGTATCTTCAAGCTAGCTATGCGCATACTTGTTGATATTGTTACTGCAAATCATCACTGACTCTCATCAGCTGTTTGCTCAGCAATGAAAACAAAGTACAAAATATTTGTTTTTTGTTGATATATAAAGGTTTGTTAAGTAAATAATATAATTAATATGATATATTTATTATATTTTAGCGTATTTTCCAACAGTGCATTTCACAAGAAAACTTAATTTTTTGAATATTTTTTGAATTTTTTAACAATAAATTTGTTTTAGTCATTTATTATATTTACTCCATTTTATTGCTACATAACAATATTATTTAATTAAAAAATAATTTTTTTAATATTAAACTTCGTTATTTTCTGTAAATGTAAAATGCTAACCAAAATCTTAATAGTATGTCATTAACATATTAAACGAAGTTTCCTCATTGTTTATTTGGCAGCCGTCTGTCAGTTAAGTTCCGGTTAACTTAACCAAAACTCCTGCTTTTGGTAAAGAAAAGAACGAGAACTTAACTAACAGATGGCTGCTAACCAGACCTTGAGATGTAACATGTGCGATATGTCAAAACTAACAGAGCTTAAAGGCTGCGATAGCTACCTCAGAAACAATGTTAAATGAAAACTGTCAAACAAAGCCAAGGTGACTCACCACTTTGTATTTTTGCCGTCAAAAGCATTTCACTAAATCGAGAAAATGAAACTGCCAAAATCCATATTATATATGTATCTACCTCTATTATTTTTGTGCTTGTTCTGTTATACATGTAATAGCAGTGGTACTCGGATCGTAGCGATGTTAAATAACCGCTAACTAATGCTTACTTACATATGCATATGTTGTTATTAACAGAATATGCCTCCGAACTCACTTTATGTCACTAAAAATATATTCAAAAATGTTAGTCAATAACTACGCCAATTTTTTTTTTAATTACACATGAAAAAATTCGCTCTAGTACAATAAATCTCTAGTTTACATAGAAATTTCCCGAATATGCTAGATATTTCAAATTTAATAT